TATTTTAATTTTCTAAGTATGTAGGGAATATTCAGGAAAAAGAAGTTTAGGTTATAGAGTATTTTGTTAATTGTGAGATGGTATTCCAGAAAGTGTGAAAGTATAGAAAACAATTTATCCTAAAGAAAGAATTTTAAAATTTTGAATGTATGCTAAAAATTAGCCAGAAGGGTGTTCATTATTAATGTGTTGTTTACAAATTTATTAAGATTGAAAAATAGAAAAGAACAGTTTTAAATTAAAGATAATCTATCATAACATTTTCCTGTAAAAATACTTAACTGTATATAAAACAGATATGTCTGTATCTTGCTAATCTTATTTTTAAAAAATATATAATAGAATATGAATGTGTATATGTATATATGTATATTTGCATATATGCATAATATGTATGCATAAGTTCTGATAAATTTTACATTGTATTTTTAAACTTGGAATTATGCTATTTCAGAGATACTCTTTTTAAGGGCCATCTGTATTTTTTTGTATCTAGTCCTACATTGTCAGTGCTGAACTCCTAGAGCCCAAGGCTCTATTACAGAAAATGAGTATGGCCTGTCATTTAAATGACAAGTTTGATTTACAAATAAAAATCATTAGACCCTAACGATTTATTTTATCATAATTGAATATTTATTTTATTTTTTCACTTGACATAGTCCTTTTGTTATACATCTCAAACTTGTTTTAACAATGTGGGAAATAGCTTAAAATTCACTAATGGGTGTTACTTTATGAAAAAGACTCTAGGTGGTGCCAGAGCTGGGGTGGGTAGTTTGGTAAAAAGAATGAAAGTGATCAAAAGGTACAAACTTGCAATCTATATATATAAAAAGCCAGTGTCCGTGACAACCAGGATGACCAAATGACTGGTCACCACGAAGTGCTTTGACTTCGGTCCCTGCCTCCTGCCCGCAGGCTCAGATGGATCAGCAATGGTGAACAGAAGGATTGGTGTGGGTGGTGGGAGGACTGGGCTGGCTGTGAGGCCGTTGGGATCACCAGCTCATCCCCAGCTGCTCAGGGGCTCAGGCCCACAGGAAAGCAGGTGCCCCAACTGCACCTCCATGCCTGTGAACCCAGCCAGCTGCTGATGGAACGTGCTGCCCGCTTGGGGCCGCTCACGCCCGGGTGGGTAGGTCATGGGCACACCCCGCAGCTTCCATCAGCGCCTCAAACCCCAGCACCAGTGGCGGGGGCAGCGGCACCTGCATGAGCAGCCCTGAGTGGGCAGCCATTCGATCAGTGGCAGCCCGGTGCACACGCATGGAGGTGAAGTCTCTGGCGCATGCTTTCCTGCAGGCCTGAGCTCCCGAGCAGCCGAGCAGCCAGGGATGAGCTGGTAATCCCAATGGCCTGACAGCCCGGCAGCAGAGGCAGCTTTTGGCCTGGGGACTGGCGAACGGGCAGAAGATGGCCCTGATTACAGGAGTCTAGGCCTAGGGACCCTACCAATGCTGAGCCTCTAGTCTATATATATATAAAGCCCTAATATGCAAATAGACCAAACGGTGGAATAACCGAACAACCAGTCGCTGTGATGTGCACTGACCACAAGGGGGCGCATGTGGAACATGGCAGGCTTTGGCAGCAGGGGGCAGAGTGCAGAACATGTGGGCATTGGCTGCAACAGGATGGTGGAGCAGGTGAGTGGGGGCTTCAGACCAAGGCGGGGCACCGGTCACTGTCATCGGGGCAAGCCTCTGGTGGTTACTGAAAATTCTTTGTTCTCAGGCACCGTGGTCCCACCCTGCGCTCACACCTGCTGCTGGCACGAGCCCCGCTCACACCTGCTGCTGGTGCCTGTGCTGCCACTTGCACCTGCTGTCAGCGCCTGGCACTGGCCCTGATCACTCAGTGTCATCAGCAGGTGTGAGTGGTGGCTGCTGGCCTGATCACCCCTCAGGGCTTCTCCACCCTCCCCTGCTCCTGAGGGGCAATCAGGGCCAGCAGCCGCCTCTTGCACCCACTGCCAACACTGGCCACCACTCGCACCCGCTGTCTGCACCTGGCTCTGGTCCTGATTGCCTCTGAGGGCTTTTCCACCTCCCCATGCTCCTGAGGTGTGATTGGGGTAGCAGCTGCTGTTCACACCTGCTGATGGCACTGGCCCCACTCACACCTGCTGCTGGCACCGGTCCCAATTGCTCCATGCTGTTAGTGGGTGGGTGTAAGTGGGGCCGGTGCCATCAGCGCATGGGAGTGGAGGTGGTGGGAGCATGGCTGCCAGCAGAGAGGGGACTGGGGGCCACAGTGAGAGAGGTTGGGTGGGGGTGCGGAGGATGGGCCAAGACCCGCTCCTGTGCCCACCATAGCCTTGTGGTTCACAGTTTCTTTCAAGGTGCACGAATTCATGCACTGGGCTCCTAGTATTCTTATAATTTCTTACATTCTTATAAACATTGAATTCAGGTGTGGTTCCTGTTACTATAACTGAGTAACGAACCATCACAAAACTTGGTCACACAAAACAGTCATTTCAT